TAACTACAACTTAAAAAATCTAAAATTGTTCTGGTCGTTTATAAGAGACTGTGATTTTGTAAAATGCCAGCCAGGAGTTTTATCTACTAAAAAAAATAAATATCAAATTACTGGCACTCAAAAATTGGACAATCATAAAATTTCCTTTGCTCTGAGGATGTAGGCTCTGATGGATGTACAGCCCGTCTATAAAGACTCCCTTCAGGTCGTCTATAAAGACCACCTTCAGCTCGTCTATAAAGACTCCATCTTTAGCTCGTCTATAAATACACTGTTCAAATCGTCTGTAAAGACTCCCTTCAGCTCGCCTACAAAGACTTCTCATCAGATTTCGAAATTTCTTACTTAGCTCCCTTATCCTCTCATTGTTTCTAAATCAAATGTTAATGTGTCAAAGAGTCTGTCGGTGGTTTCGTATTCCAAAAACATGTTAATGGCATCATCATAAAGATGAATGTTGTTGTTGATGATTATGACAATGTGTATTGGCGTGTGTAATTCCTATGGCAGCAGGCGTCGACCAAAAAAAAAGTTCGGCTTATTTCACTAAACGAGATATCAACATTTTATTCAAAATTTATTATCTACAAAATTATTAATCATCTGTTTTAGCATGTGCCAATGACATTATTGTTTGTGGCGCATTTGTGAGATATCATATACGAAGAATTGAAATGAATTTCACAGATTATCTGAAGGAGGAGTAGTGAGGGAAATTATAATTTACAGTGCATTCAAAAAGTTGGAGGCATAGAGAAAAAAATTAATTAGCAGAGACAAGGCATGGTATTGAAGACGAAATAGGACATTAGAAAAAGTTGATTCAACATGATTTGAATTAGAATCTTGAAAGACAAGTTTAATTTTAAACATTTTTATTAAAAAAATTAATTTAAAAATTTAAATTAAAAAATTGTCATATTTATAAAAGCTTCAGAAGGTTACAGAATCTGTGATATGGTCTACTTAACTGTATATTTACAGTGAAGTAGACCATATCCCTTTGGCCTTCAGTTCAACTATAAAGACTATATGGCCTCTAGTTTTTCTATATAGACTCCCTACCATTAGCTCTCCTATAAAAACTCCTTGGCCAATTCATACCTTAAATATTAATTTAGAATTTTAAATATTTTTATTCAGAATTTTAAATATTTTAATTTAGAATTATCTCTTTGACCCTCAGTCCGCCTATATAGACCTCCTACCATTAGCACTCCTCTAAAGATTCCCTGGTCTTTTCAGGCTTTAAATATTTTAATTTCGAATTTTGACCATCCTATTTAAATGGATAGAGACTTTCACATCACTCTTATCCAATGCACTGTATTCTCTACGCATTCTTTACAAAGTAGGAGGCCGAAACCGAAATGAATCTCACAACAATTTCCAATTTTTTTTGAAGAATCACACACAAGTGTCATACTACTCATTTCATTTTTTTCATTTCGTCAAATTACGTTTGGGTATTTTGATCTGATATGCCAGGGGGAAGCATGCGAGATTGTTGTTGTTCTTTTGGCAGAAAAAAAAAACAAAACCGCACAATATGATGACAGCCAACCTACTGAAGTATTCTTCGGAAGATTCAATGAAGAAAAAGATACTATTGTTGTTGTTCTTGTGACATTGTCTCAATTGCCAGTGGAGGGTGGGGAAGAACAAAAAAGTGATACCTTCAACAACAACAACTTGAAAAAAATTTGTCAAGATACAAATAATGTAAAAATTGACGATAAATTGAACAAATTGTGTGTGGGTGCATGTGTATCGTTCTTTTTGTTGTTGTTTTTTCCTTAACAAGATATGACATGTAAGGTGACTCAATGAAGAAATTTTGTTGAGAAAAATGTTTACAGGGCAACAAGAAATGTTCTACGCAACGGAAATTCCATTTTAAAGCTCTAATTGATGGCAACAAATGATGTGTATGAGTGTGTATTTTAAATTTTTTGAAATTTGTTGTTACAAATTGCCGGAAAATTGAAACACTTTAAAATGATTATACAACCTATAAAGCGATTCTAGTATAACGAACAAACTTGTTCGAAAAAAAGAAAAAAATCCCAACGACGAGAGTAGAGTATTTGCAATGGTATTTTTAGGCTTCCTGAAGGGGTCTACAGACGATCAAATAAAATTTTTGGTGTATTTTCTAAAATTCCAGCCTCCCTCTCTCTGTGTAACCGATTTAAATTCTATCAATAAAGACTTTTATCTAGCCTAAATAGACTTCCTCCAGCCCTTTTTTTTTAAATTCTCTTTCGGTCGTTGATAAAATCCACCATTTAAGGTCAATATATAATCCCTTTTGGTCACCTATAAAGTCTCAATTCTGCTCGTTCATAAATTCTCTCTTTTATTCATTAATTAAATAAAAAAAATCAAAAATTCGAGTCTCCCCTCCCTTATTTTGTATCTAGTCTATAAAGACTTTCTTCAGCTCGTTTTTAAATTCCCTTTCAGTCGTTTATAAAATCTACCTTTTGACCGTCAATAAATACTCCCCTCTGGTCTCCTATAAAGACTCAAATATGTTCCTTAATAAAGTCTCTCTTTTACTTGCCTATCAATTAAATAAAATTCTACTTCTTTTTTTTCATTTAAACCCCAATTTCCATGTCCCACATGGCTGTCTATTAAAAGCAACCACGTGCAAGCCCTATGCATATGATCAGACACGTTTTTGTTCTTCTTATATTTCCTTTGTTTAACAGTTAGTTCTTCCATCATACTCTGATTGCATTTAAGTTACAGGTGTAAACAAACAATAACAACAACAGGTTGTTAGAACAATGGGCCGTTTTATTCTCCCACTCTCTCTCTTCACTCTCTCACATCAAATCACTAAAGGGAAACAACAAATCAGTTACAAGAAAGAAAAGTGGAAAAGTTGGGAAAAACTAAACCCAATTCCAACATGACAGACAACAAGTGTATGGAAAGATGTATGTATGTGTGCATCTAACACCTGTACTAATTTCGTATAGCTGTGACGTTTCTTCTACCTGTCACTCGTTTGAATGATTTGGCGGTATTGAGCGTATAAGTTGTAACGTCACATTTTTGTTGTCTTTTATTGTTACACATTTCACGGGGTGGGGAACAAGTTTTGATATAAAAAGTCAACATTATTGTGTGTATGTGTATGTGAGTGTCTATGATTTTCTCCTTCATCATCGTCTTCTTCCTATTGTTTTTGTTTAACGTTAACAATTTTCTTTGATTGAAGGAAACCAGTTCTTCAATTTTCTAATTTATCATGTGAGAGAAGTTGAAAGTGGGAGATACAGAGAAAGGGGAGAGGAAAGGAAATCATGGAATGTTTATAACTGACAAAAACACTGTTAGATGTACCAAAAACATACACACACTCATATTTTTTTGAGGTCAGCGTTCTCTCAAAAGAAACCGGATTTGTGTTATGTCCACCGTCATCATCACCATCTTCGTCTTTTATTATCTTCTTTCGTATAAAATGTAAAAGGTTAGACAGAAAATAATTTTGACCTAAACAAACAGGTGAAAGAAGATGATGGACACAACAACAAAAAACATGTGTTTCAAAAGATAATCAAAACGTTATTTAATAGAAAACAAAACATTTCACAGAGAGTTGCTTGGTGGGAGAGAGAGCATGAAATCAAAAGAGCTAGCAACAGTGATTTATCATTTATCGGTAGAGGGGAGAGAAGAGATTGTAAGAAAAACAGCTGATACATGTGTCATTAACATTTGAGGCTAAATTTTATTAAGACTAGAAGACAATTTAAAAATTAAGAAAGAAAAACGGAGTCCATGGCCATTAAAATCTTTTATAAATAAATTCTCATAATTAGCCCGGATAAGAAGAGCCGTTGGCTTAAAAAAAATCAGGTAAGCTGTACAAACTCCCTGTTTCAGCTAATTAACAAAGACTCTTTCTTTTAGGTCGTTTATTAAAATTCCGTGCTTCAGCTCGTTTATAAAGACTAGCTGTTTCAGTTAATCTACAAACGCTACCGGCTTCAGATTCCCTTCAGCTCGTCTATAAAGACTCCCTTTAGCTCATCAATAAAACTCCCTTTAGCTCATCAATAAAACTCCCTTTAACTCGTCTATAAAGATTCCCTTCAGTTCGTCTATAAAGACTCCCATCAACTCATCTATTAGGAATCCCATCAGCTCGTCTATAAAGACTCCCATCAGCTCGTCTATAAAGGCTACCTTTAGCTCGTCTATAAAGACTGCCTGAGCTGAACTTCTATAAAGACTCCCTTCAACTAGTCTATAAAGACAACATTTAGATCTCCTATAGATGCCCTCTTCTGATCGCCTATAGAGTCTCACTTCAGCTTGTCCATGAAAGCTCTCTTCTACCCCTCCAAAAAACCTCCCATCTGAATGTCTATTACAACTCCCTGACTGCTGCACAAAATACAACATTTTTAAAAATATATTCCATTTAAATTAAAAAAAAACAACAGCAGAGATAAGGGCAAATTCATTTTAAAATAAGAAGAAGAAACTCTGAAGACAAAGGAAAAATAAATCAAAGTAAAATAAACATAACAAAATTGAGTTATTTATAATTTTTGTTGAAAAGTGCTGCTGTTACATATCAGACTGCTGTTTGTTGCTTGCATGAGTTCACACTTTTTGGTGTTCTGGACTAAAAGAAAAACTATCATATCATAGAACACAAAAAGAACAATAATAACAACAACGGATGGAAAAATAATCACAATAAGAATTTGATTTCACGGCTTATGGCAGAGAAGAACATGAACCGAAATTAAATTTTAAACCAAAAAAAAAAATTAAATTGTCAGTCATGAGACATAATCATGCAATCTCACCACGAAGCTAGAAGAATGGATGGTGATGCAGCCAGCACCAAAATCAAAACTCATAAAAATTCAATAAGAAATGGTATTGTGGTCAGTGGCCTTCTTGGCCAGGAAATGCATGATTTGAAATTCTGTCTTAAAATAAGTTTATTTGTATTTTCCACCACTTACCTGTTTCGTTGGCGATTGATATTTGAAAAGACTCCTTTTGGCTGTCGGTGTATATGCATTCTCATTACGTTCATCACTAATGGCCTTTACATCTTCAATGGCAGTGCCGAGCAGTTCATTTTTTAATAGACACGAATAGGCTAAACTGTCACGCGCCGTTTCACCGCAATCCCTTTGCTTTTTACTCGTCTGTGGTGAATTTTCATTTGATTTATTTATTGAAGCGAAATTTGTTTGCCAATTATTGTTTGCTCTGGAAAAAAATAGAGAAGAAGAAAAATGAAAAATTGTTAATTAAAATTTTAAAATAGAAGGAAAGATAAAAAGTTAAAAAAATACATTAGAGGCGACTAAGAGACCGGCATCATAAAGACACAATCTGAGTGGAGAATTTATAGACGGTCAAGAGGAAATATTTTATATATCACCGAAATAAAGACCATTAAAGGCATTCAAAATACTGCCTTTATTGAAAATTAAAAGAAAGGATTCTATGTAATTCGCAAATTAGTTTTTTATAGAAAACCAAAGACTTTCTTTATAGGCGGCAAACACAAATTACATTTTTTGATGTTCCAAAGGGACAGAAAAGGGAAAAGACAAAGTCAGCCATTTGCCATGGGAACCTTTTTATCCAACTCCATTATCTTTGCTAATTAAAAATTCAGGAAATTGGAAAGCCATCAATTCCAACTAATTTGAAAAATTCATTAAAAAGCATAATTACAAACCTAAAATATGACTTTATTTAAATAACTTAGTCACTGGCATAGGCAGCAGGAAAGAAAAAAGCTCTTTGGCTTGAAATGGGTGTGGGTTAAACAAAAATAATTAACCAAACCGCCAAAAGAACCTTATTGCAGCAATGAGTGGCCATGCGGCGGACAAAAAAAAACTTTTTAACGGAAGTTGACACTATGACGGCTTCATAATTCAAATGAAATCATTAACCCACCACCAACAATTACAACCGGTAAATGTTGTTACCTCAAAATAACACACAGGTGGAATGCAAATCTATATGTAAATTTTGTCGCTTTGTGGATATGTATGAAAGTCTGTATGTTTTTCAGAGGCCCGTGTTTATGTTTTGCTTATTGTAAAGAGGAAAGGGCTTGTCTTTCAGTAACAACAATAACATAAAAATATTAAATTTCCGTTATTATTATAATTTACCCAAGGGGAAGAAGAAGAGAAGGAAAGGTCGCTATTCAACTCAATTTGATTCAATACTAAATAGATGGAAGGCTAGTCATATAGGGAAGGGTTGAAGGGAGTCTGGAAAGACGAGCTGAGGTTAGACTCTACAGGCGAGTTGGGGCAGGTGATCCCTATAGACGGGCTAAGGAGACACTCGCAAGACCTTGTGCGCACTGAACAACTCCTTAGGATTAACACAATATAATTACACACACTGAACATACCTAATGAAAACAGAGAGATATACTGCAAACAGTTAAAGTGAGATGTAAACACAAACCAGCTGAGAGGGAGAGAGAGAAATGCAAATGTAAAAACCAATAACAACTACATCAAAAGGGAATATTCCAAGGTGGATTAAAAAATAGACCAGGGAATGGAAGCTATTCAAGTCTTATTGACAATCTACCGTATACATCTAAATATACCCTATAAATGAACTGAAGCAGACGATTTGAAGAATAAAAATAATGGATGAACTGAAGTGAGAGTCATTAAAGATGAGCTGATACATCTGAAGAGTGAGAGAGTCAAAGATCAAGGACTTTTAATAGAGGAGTTGGAAGTCTGGCAGTCTTTATAGAGGAGATAGAGGTCAAGGAGACTTTATAAATCAGCTGAATGGCCAGTCCATTTAGACGAACTGATAGGAGGCTCTACAGACAAACTGAGCTAAGGGAAGGCTCTAAAGTCCAACTGAAGGTTCATAGAGTCTCTAAATACGGTCCCTACATTCCTTATGGACCAGAGAGACTTTAATTGCAATGTTTATATTTTCAAAATTATTTTTTTTTTCAAAAAAGTGTTTTATTATTTCATTTACTTTTTTAATATTCTATTTTTTTTACAAAATTCTCTGCCAAAATTATTTTCTTCCCATTGTTATTGTGTGGTGGACAACCTTTTTATGAAGGCCTTTGTTTTTTTCACTTTGTAAATCTGTATGTGCTCAGCTTAGCATTTGCATAATAATTGCAAATTCAGCAATAGAGACATTTTGTTGAATATTTGCAATAAATTTATGTGAATTTATATATTTTTGGCAGAAATTGCACGTTTTATAATATTATATTTAACAAGAAGCACAACTGAACATGACAATAATTGTGTATTGTGTTACGGTATTAGATTACCTTGGAGCGTGTGCACACAGGTATTGCGATGACGTTAGCCCAGCCATGTGCTTGGCTATCGTTAAGAAAAAATTAATAAAAAAATATTATTGTGTCATTTCAAGTTCATCTAAAGGAGACAATGTTTTTGTTGTACGTCTTATCTATGCGAATATCCTATGCATTTTAAAATGCAATGACAAAAAGTTTGGTTTTTGAACTCTGTCAAGGTTTTCTTTTTATACTTTATTTGTTTAATAAAAAATACATTATTAGAATTTATTGGGAACACAATTTGGGTTTCAATGCAAATGCATGACATGTTGTGAAGTACAAATAAATCACGTACAAATACAAAATATTTGGTGGGAAGGAAAATTAATGATTTGAATTATTTTTAATTATATTTTTTGTATTTGGATTTAATTTGAAAAATAGGGTTAATTATTACTTCTAAAACCATCTAGAATACACCCACTATTTATAAATAGTTTTCATTAGACTCTGTAATTCCATTGGAAAAACAATTAAAACCTTTTGCGATCATTACCACTAAAGTTTGTAATTAAATACATCATTTGGATTACAATTAATTACATAAAGGTATGTAGGTGTAAATCGTTTAGCAATTATCCTAATTATTTTCCTAATTGATTTTCATTTAATATTTAAAAACAAACAACAAAAAACTGCCCTAATTATTAAGGTTTCTTTGGTGTGGGAGGGATTAAACATACCCCAAAATTACACATTCTAAGAAAAATATAAATTATTTGGTTATTTCATGATAAATGGAATAAATTTCAATTTCGTTTCAATAAATAACCGATAAATTACTGTAATTATTTAGATTTGTTGCTGAAATTGTTCAATTCATTAATCTTAAAGCATGACGTATGCACTGAACGACTCCTTAACACGATAAAATGTAAGCACACTGAACATACCCTAAAGAAAGCATTGAGAGATGCAGTTACAGTGAGATGTAAACAGAAACCAGCTGAGAGAGAGAGAGAAATGCAAATGAAAGAAAAGAATAACAAATAACTCAAAAGAAATATTCCTAAGGGCATTAAAGAAAATAGACCAGGAAATAGAAACTAGACAAGTCAGAAAATGAAGTCCTTGGAGAAAAAAACTAAAAGGGAATCCTTATAGGCAATCTAAAAATGTTATCCGTATAAATGAACTGAAGCAGGCCCCCCTGCTTTATGGATGAACTGAAGTAGAAGTCATTAAATACGAACTGGTACAGTATAAACGACCTGAAGGGAGTCTTTATAGCCAAACTGTGCCACGAAGACCAAGTGAAGCATAGAGTATACAGACCAGCTGAAGCAGGATCTGGTCTAGACAAGCTGAAGTGGGCAGTCTTTATAGACATTTGAAACAAGAAGTTTTTTTGGACGTGCTGAAGAAGAAAATCTCTTTAGACGATCTGAAGCACGACATCTTTATTAGACTTTTTGAAGCACGAAGTTTTCAAGGACTAGACTAGACAGATAATTTTTAAAGATGAGCTACAGACGGGAATCCTATAAACGAGCAGATTCGAAACAGTTTCAATTGGAAAACTTAATTTTAGCCTGGCTGAATAATGTTTTTCATAGGAAAACTTCAATTCAGCCTTGTCTAATAGAGATTTCTATAGGAAAACTTAAATTCAGCCTGGCTGATTAGAGGTTTCCATAGGGAAACTTCAATACAGCCTGGCTGAATAATGTTTTCTAGAGGAAAACTTAAATTCAGCCTGGCTGAATAATGTTTTCTATAGTAAAACTTCAATTCTGAATAGAGGTTTTTATAGGAAAACTTCAGTACAGCCCGGCTGAATAGAGGTTTCTCTAGAAAATCTTCAAATCAATCTGGCTGATGGTATTTTCTAAAGCCAAACTTCAATTCAGCCTGGCCGAATAGAGGTTTCTATAGGAAAACTTCAATTCAGCATAATTTTTCTATAGGAATTTTACAATTCAGCCTGGCTGAATAGGGTTTTTCTATATCAAAACATTTATTTCGCCTGAAAGAAATTGAAGAGCACATGGTGTAAACCTGCTATTACATATCTTCCATCTTTCTATTTCTATAGACATCAAACACACATACATACACACGTTTAGATGCAAGTTATAATTAAATGTTAGTTTATGATGAGTTTCTTCATTTCTCTTTTTTTATTTGTATGCATGTTGTTGTTTTTTTATTATTGTTGCTGATGACTCCAAATAAGAAAAGTCTAATGGAAAACAATGCCAACGAAGCATTTCAAAACAAACCTCGGTTACAAAAGATGGCCATACGAAATGATTTGGTCTATGAATGTTGTTATTGTTTGCAAAGCAAGTGAGGCAATCATCAGCCCGCCAAAAGGGTAATGATCTTTGCCACCATTGTGTGCATGTGTGTGTATGTTTTATAATAGTAAAGTGAAAACTTACCTGCAAGGTATAAATCGATCCAGCGATGATGTTGTTGAGGCAGCTTCAAATGAATTGAAAAGATTTCTGGCCACGGGACTGCAGTGTTTTAAAATACGTTTTTCATAATCAGGACTAAACATGTTGGTGATGTATTTAATAAATCTCGTTTAAAAAATATATATACAATTTTAAGGAACACAAATTTTGTTGTTGGATAATTGGTGGGAGGAAAGCACTTTTCTGAAAATAGAGAAAAAGAAAGAACAAATTGGTAATTAATAAAATTTTCTCATCATGTTCAACTCATAAATAATTTATACAAATACTGGTAATTGTTCAAATTCCCGCCAAAAAAAAGACACACACACGAATTCTATGTTCAACCACCTTCCATCGTTAACCCCATCCATCCAGCAATTCGAAAACAAAATGAGTAATTAATTAATCAATGTCAATAAAAGACATTGTAACAAGCCACAAATAATTGTTTCAATACAAAACCAAAAACCAAAAAAATTTGAAGAAAAGAACCCAAGCCAAAACCAAGACACAAACGTGTCTCTTTTATTATAATCCACGAGGAAAGGGGGTGGGCGACGGAGTGTGCATTCAAGTCAGTGGGATTAAACGACCTGGCCAGAAATTTTAAACAAAAGGTATGTCGTGTTGTGAATACATCATGTTAAGCCGATGACGCCTCCGAATTTGACGCCTTAAACGACGACGTGGTGTTTAAATCCGCTTATGGTTAAATAGAAAAATCCCATGCAATAGACCCAGAAAAAACTGCCCTTAAAAGCATGCTTAAACAAGATCACGATTTGATGTAGTAGCTATCAGCTAAAAATAGGTGAACGAATTCTACCCGATACGATTTCTAACGTGTTGAGAATACTGAATAGCTAAGTTTAGAGAAATTTTTCGAAAATTTATTACACTTGTCTTTAAGACACTTGGTCAAGATTTATGTGACAGCACAATTAGGGTGGTGATATGGGAAAAACTAAATTTTTTAAGGCAAACAGAGACTTTTTATATAGGAATCACAAATTCAGCAAGGCTGAATTAAAGATTTAACAAAGGAAACACAATTTAGACAGGATGAATTGGAGGTTTTTCAAACAAAATATTATACAGCCAAGCTGAATTAAATATTTCTCAAAGTAATCACTATTCAGCCAGGCTGAATTGAAGTTTTCCTAAAGAAAACACTATTCAGCCAGGCTGAATTGAAGTTTTCCTAAAGAAAACACTATTCAGCCAGGCTGAATTGAATTTTTCATATAAAAAACACAATTTAACCGGACAGAAATTAAGTTTCTCATTAGAAAAGACTGTTCAGCCAAGCTGAGTTTAATTTTTCCGAAAGAAATCACTATCCAGGCAGTCTGAATTGTTGGTTTGCTATAGAAAACACTATTAAGCTAGGCTGAATTGTTGGTTTGCTATAAAAAACACTATTCAGCCAGGCTGAATTGTTGATTTGCTATAGAAAACACTATTCAGCCAGGCTGAATTGTTGATTTGCTATAGAAAACACTATTCAGCCAGGCTGAATTGTTGGTTTCCTATAGAAAACACTATTCAGTCAAGCTGAATTGAAGATATCACACAAAAAACACTATTCAGCCACGGTGAATTAAATTTTTCCAACACAAACACTATTTAGCCAGGATGAAAAACATTTCTCCCACATTCAGCCAAGCTGAATTGAAAAATTATTTATAAAAAACACACTTTTTTAATTATTTCAACTATTTACCCAAATATTTTCCACCCCTTTTTGCTTCGAAACACACACACTTCTTTGGTAAAAGAAAAAGATAACAATTAAATTGTAAACTCCACTGCACTTCACTTCTTCTCTTTGGGTTGTTGATCGTTTGAGCTCTGTGAGTAAACTGTTCTCAATTAACCAACCACTGTGGCCTTTTATAAAACAAAATATTATTCTTGAAACGAATGCCTGAATGAGCATAGCCGGAGTGTCCGTCCGCCCAACCAACCGAAATCAGGGTGTTAATGGTGACAACAACAAGAAGACAATAACAAACAAGCCTAAGGATACAATGACTCGCGCGTCTTGAGGATGATGAATAATTGTCACTTGTTTTTAAAAACCAAAACACAAATTGACAACTGAACAAACAGCCAACAAAAACAACAACAACATGTCAGGTATATTTGCTAATTCAAAACAGGCTCGCGGCCAAAGGATCAGGGCATGAGCCATAATCGCCAAAATTTACAAAAACATAATCACCAGAGGTAGTTCCGTCGTTCATAAATTCCCAATTAGACCTGTAGTAAATGAGGTTAGGTAATTTCGAAATAATGGTTTTGTTTTGGCCGGACCGACGACAACAAAACAGTAGTTGTTTTGTCATTTAGTCAAAATAGATGATAAGTGGACTAATTGTTGGATGACTAAGAAAACAATTTCGATGGCTAATTGAAGAAAACAAATTGTGAGGAGCTAAGGCAACCAATCGGAATTTCTTTAAAATCTTAATAGAAGATCTGAAGGGAGTCTCCATCGACGAGCAGAAACGAGACTTGAAGTTTTCCTATCGAAAATATTATTCAGCCCGGCTGAAATAAATATTTCACAAAGAAAGCGTTATTCAACCAGTCTGAATTGTTGGTTTCCCAAAGAAAACACTATTCAGCCGGACTGAAATAAAGTTTTAATATAGAAACAGTATTCAGCCAAGCTGAATTAAGTATTTCGCTAAGAAATCAGTATCTAGCCATCTGAATTAAAATATTTCAGCCATTCTGAATTGTTGGTTTCCAATAGAAAAAACTATTCACCAGGCTGAATTGTTGTTTTCCTATAGAAAACACTATTCAGACAGACTGAATTGTTGTTTTCCTACAGAAAACACTACTCAGCCAAGCTGAATTGTCGGTTTCCTATAGAAAACACTATTCAGCCATGCTGAATTAAAGTTTTGCTACAGAAAACACTATTCAGCACGGCTGAATTTGTTGTTTTCTTATAGAAAATACTAGTCAGCCGGGCTAAATTGTATAGAAAACACTATCCTATAGAAAAAACTATTCAGCCAAACTGAATTAAATATTTCGCAAAGAAATCCCTATTCAGCCAAGCTGAATTAAATGTTTGTCAAAGAAATTATTATTCAGCCGGGCTGAATTGTTTGTTTCCTATAGAAAACACTATTCAGCAACGCTGAATTATTGATTTCCTATAGAAAAAAATTTTCAAACATACTGAATTGAAAATATCGTACAGAAAGGGAGTCTGAGGGGAGTCTGTTTAGACGAGCTGAAGGGAGTATTTTCAGACAAGCTGAAGGGGGTCTTTATAGGCGAGTTGAAGGGAGTCTTTTGAGACGAGCTGAAGGACGTCTTTATAGACGGGCTGTACAACTGAGCCCTCTCACAGCCTACAGAGCCTCCTCAGAGCCTTTACAGCCTCCCCAGAGTCTATACAGTCTGACATTTTAGTTTTGGCCTCGGACTATACAGTCATACAATACAAAGGCAGCCTTCAGATCGGCATTAGAAATTCCTTTCTGTCTCTTATAGAGAAACTGAAGGCTGCATTTATGAATGAACTGGGATAGGAGTCTTTACAATCGTGCTGGGCTGTGCAATAAACCACAGCAAAATGGAGTATATATAGCCGGACTGAACTGATAGAAACGAGGTATGTATAGTCGATATGAAGAGCCTCTTTATAGATAAGTCAAGAGGCGTTTTAGAAGGCTAGTTAAAGGCGACCTTTTCCCAGCAGGATGTTAACAAAGTCACACGAAAAACTCTCACCTTGTCTGAATCCTCGTTTGGTGTTAAAGGATTCCGAGAGGGTTTTAACAGCTAACCATATGCCAGTTAGAGTTATTATAGCCCCATTAATTTTACAGGAATGTCAAACGCAAACATGGCTTTAAACACCTCAGAGCTTGTGGGCTGTTGAATGCGTTTTTGTAGTCGACGAATAGGTGGAATGTGTCGATTTATTTTTCGTAAGTCTTTTTAAGGATTTGCGCAGAGTGAAAATCTGGTATATATTAGATTTGTCAGGTCTGATTAATAAGATCCAATTGACCATTGGCTAGACTAATCCCTCTATAGTTGGCACATATCGTCTTGTGTCCTTTTTTTGTGTGCATGGGACACGGGATGCTGAGGTTCCAATCAGCGTTTATAAACAAATTCCCTTGTACTCTCTTCCAACTAACGGCCTTTAATCGATCTATCTGCAATTTATTGAAATTTGTAAAAAAAAATGCGGGTAACCAATTTTTTTGTTCTTCTATTCAACTAATTTCCGAAGTTATTTATTACTTTGGCTCCTTTAATAGTTTCTGCAAGCAGCCCGACTTGCCGTTTTAATTGTTTTCCAAGGTAGTTATGGTGATAACAAGACCTCTAACATATGTCATTGTTATTTTAAAGGACCCTAAATGAATTATAAATGGTTAAGTGATAGAGAACAGAAAAGAAATGGGGGAGTGTTGAATTTAGGCTCATCATGAACACATGATGAGGGCTGGCCAGCATTAAGCATTAGACAGCAGTTAATGTGGTTCCATTATTGAACAAATATTAGTCACGGTTAATTTTTAATAACATTTTTTTGACATTTAAATTTATTTGTTAATAAGAGGAGCAGTCGCCGGCTTATCAATTATTATTTTTTTTTGCTAGAGTCGATGTGAGTAATACCATTACGGCGCTCAACATTATATGCAGTTTGAGGGTTTTTTTGTTTTTGAGGCTTGGTTGGCATGGCTTAATGACTTCGGAAATGCGTTGATTTTCTTATTTCATTTTTATGATTATTTGTTTTTGTTGTTGTTTTTGAGCAATATTCTACAACCACACCCCATTATTCTGGCACATCAAAAATGTCTAACAAGGCAGTAGTTTTTTTGGACTTGGAATAAATTTGGAATCCTATTTACTTTTTGGATTTGCCTGCTGACTGAGTGACCAACCTACATATTGTTGCATTGGATTGGTGTTACTCATTTGTTGGGTCTCAGTATTTGTTAATGTGTCACCACCATTAGGGAGGCAGTGAAACTATATAAACGAGAACCCCCATATATAGCTCCATTGTATTCACCCAAATAATAATACACCCGTACATTAATCATTGACACAC